CACACACACACACACACACACACACACACACACACACACACACACACGGCAGTTGTTCATACTTGTAACCCATGTAACCCAGCACTTTGGGAAGCAGAGGTTGAGGATCTCTTGAGCCCAGCAGTTCTAGACCAGCCTGTGCAATGTAGCAAGACTCTATGTACACACACACACACACACTGCATACAGAGCAAGTGGGATTTACCACGCAGCTCTCCTCTGTCTCTTTCCCCACCCTCAGGAACACAGACACAGAGGCTCTCCAGGGGAGATGGATGCATCAGTCACAAGGAATGACAATGAGGATGTGTTTCACGGTGACAGGGCCACGTGCTCTACGCCTGTCATTTGACCACTCAGTCCCTAGCACATGCCTGGCCTGGAGTAGGTGCTCTGTAGATATTTACTAAATGAAAAACTGAGTTACAAAGGGAGCTACGAGATTAAAAAGGTTTATGATATTCTATTTAGTGAAAAAAAACGGGGTTTTTAAACAAATGCCATTTAAGAAAAATAAAAAAATGCAAAACAATAGTTTGGCAACACAACCCCAGGATGTTTACAAGGGATTATTTCTGTGTAGAAAGAAAGGGTTGTTTTTTAATTTTATCTTTTCCTTTTTTCTTCCCTTCTGTCACTTAACATATATACATTGCTTTGGTCATAAAAAATTATTCAATTAAAAAGATACTGTTTCTGAGACAGGCAGATCACCTGAGGTCAGAAGTTCAAGACCAGCCTGGCCAACATGGTGAAACCCCATCTCTACTAAAAACACAAAAATTAGCTAGGTGTGGTGGTGGTTGCCTACAGTCTCGGGAGGCTGAGGCAGGAGAACTGCTTGAACCCGGGAGGCGGAGGCTGCAGTGAGCTGAGATCAAGCCACTGTACACCAGCTTCTAGTCTGGGCAACAAAGTGGGACTCTGTCCCTTAAAAAAAAAAAAAAAAAAGAAGAAGAAAAGATACTTTTTAATCTATTAGACTGAAAAACAAAAGAGAAGCTCATCAAAGGATGTGAACAGCAGTTAGAATTCAAGTAAGCAGCAGAGCCACGGACAAGCTCTTGCTGCGAAAGCACAGACCTGCTCTTGCAATTGTATTTTGTACTTCTCTGCTTCTTCAATGTAGGTGTCCCGAAGCTTTTCATACTCCCTGGTGTAAAATTCCTTAAGCCGATTCTCTCGTTCTGTTTTCTCAGCCTGGTGCTGCTGGACAAATGCTTCATACGCTATTTGTAACTCATTCCTGGCTTTTTCTAATTTCTCACAGGTGGTTGAAGCAGTGACTGAAAAGAGATAAGAAAGAAAAGGGAAGAGGTCATTTCATCTGCGAAATGTCCCATATTCAGAGCAGTCATGCAGAGCTGTGATGACACCTGAAGCATAAACCAATGTCGTCTTGGGTCTCTAGTGACCGCATCTTCAAACATAACAGTATAGAAGTGAACTAAAAAGGAACACGAGCACACGGCACCGTGGCTCACGCCTGTAATCCTAGCACTATGGGAGGCTGAGGTATGAGGATCACCTGAGGTCAGGAGTTCAAGACCAGCCTGGTCAACATGGTGAAACCCTGTCTCTCTTAAAAATACAAAAATAGCCAGGTGTGGTGGCAGCTGCCTGTAATCCCAGCTACTCAGAAGGCTGAAGGAGGAGAATTGCTTGAATCCTGGAGGCGGAGTTTGCAGTGAGCCGAGATTATGCCACTGCACTTCAGCCTGGGTGACAGAGCAAGACTCCATGGCGGGGGGAGGAGGGAGAAGAACACGAGGGAAAAAAAACAGTAAGAGAAGTACTTCAGAAGAGCCAGGTTTCCAAGGGAAGATCTTCCCTCATGTGGTGACCAGTCAGTACAGTGGTCAAGAAAGGCCAAGACATTTCTAAGGACAAGGGACTCCTCTTTCTCCCAGCCAGCCAGTGTGGGAGAAGCTCAGACAGGAGCAGGAAAGACCAGGGATAAGAAACTCCACATGGACTTCAAGCTTGTGCTTAGTTTGAGCTGATTCCAATTTGTTATTTCAAAACTAATAAAAATGAAATACTAGGCTCTCTTAAACACAGATCACCAGAACACAAATATCTTAGGGAAAGAACTTAAGATTTTAAAAGCACTCATATAGGCCAGGCATGGTGATTTATGCCTGTAATTCTAGCATTTTGAGAAGCTGAGGCAGGAGGATCGTTTGAGCCCGGGAGTTCATGACCTGCCCAGGTAACCCCATCTCTTAAAATTAAAAAAATCAAGAGTTCAAGACCAGCCTGGTCAACATGGTGAAACCCCATCTCTACTAAAAATAGAAAAATAAAAATGTATTTTAAAACCTTTATCCAGGCTTGATGGTGTGGGCCTACAGTCCCTGCTACTCAGGAAGCTGAGGTGGGAGGATCACTTGAGCCCAGGAGATTGAGGCTGCAGTGGGCCATGATCACACACCTGTCTAGCCTGGCCAACAGAGTGAGACCCTAGCTCCAAAAAGAAAAAAAAGCACCAATATAAAATTAAAGGTTAATATATCATAAAAGGGCAAAGTAGTCTGATAAACATAACTGAAAATCAGAGCATCCTACCTCTTCCCACCACCAAAATAGAATTAATAACAATGTAATACCCACATGGCAGAACACAGAGATATATGTACACACATTACAATAAATCCTAGAAAATCCTGAATTCCTGAGGAAACCTGACTTTGGACATTCCAGTCTTCCATCACTGCTGTGTAAATACAGGCAAATAGAGAGCTACTGTAATTTTCAGGGGGTACACATGTTGTCCACACCCCGAGTGCCTGTGGATTAATACAACAGGGTTATTGGCAAATCTATTAAATTAACCCTTCTCTTTTGGAAAGCAGTAACATTTCAGGAGTTATGGAAGGAGAAAGATGATTTTAGGGCAGAAAAAATAAATTATTTTAGCTCAATAATTTATTTGACCTAAGAATGTGAAACTGGCAGGTTCTCAGGACAAATTTCCCACAATGGTGTTGACTTGCTACCTCAGGAACATGCCATGTGGTGGCAGGAATACCCAAGTCACTTGCCCCAAATCAGTGTTCCTTCAGATGAAAAACAGGCCATATTGAAATAATGGCAGGCATAGTATCCGCTAAAGAGAACCCTTAAAAATTAAAGAAATCCACGAATATTTATTGAAGGGCAAATAACATAACCCCAAAACATTTTTGCATCCCAAAATGCAGTTGAAATGAGCCAGTGATGCCGGATGCAGTGGCTCACGCCTGTAATCCCAGCATTTGAGAAGCCGAGGCAGGTGGATCACCCGAGGTCAGGAGTTTGACATCAGCCTGGCCAACATGACAAAACCCTGTCTCTACTAAAAACACGAAAATTAGTTGGGCATGGTGATGGGCATCCGTAATCCCAGCTACTCGGGAAGCTGAGGCAGGAGAATGCTTCAACCCAAGGGGCGGAGGTTGCTGTGAGCCGAGATAATGCCATCCAGCCTGGGCGACAGAGCAAGACTCTGTCTCAAATAGTAATAATGATAATAATAATAATATTCCACGGCATGTACAGATGACATCTGTGTATCCATTCACCATCCGTGGACACTTGGGTTGCTTCTAGCTTTGGCTACTGTGAATAATGCTGCTATGAACATTGGGGGGCAAGTACATGCCTGAGTCCCTGCTTTTCAGTTCTTTGGTGTGTATACCCAGAAAGAACTGCTGAACCACAGGGTAATTCTATTATTAATTCAATTCTTGCTTTCAATTCTTTGGTGTATATACCCAGAAAGAATTGCTGAATCATACAGTAGTTCTATTATGAATTATTCGAAGGACCATGGTGCTCTTTTCCATCAAGATTGAACCATTCTACATTCCCATCAGCAGCACTACACAAAAGGGTTCTAATTTCTCCACATCCTCACCAGAACGTATTTTATTTTTTCAAATATATATAACAGTCATCCTAAGGAGTACATCGCTGTGGTTATGATTTGGTCAGATTTTCAAACTCAGCCAAATGATAGAAATAAAATTCTGGCATCAAGGGTGAAAATCCTAACCCAGCAAGAGCAATAGTGGGAGACAGAGCAGTGTGCCTTAGTGATTAAGAAACTCACAAAGCAGAAAAGATGGGACCCAAAAAAGACAGAGGGAGGCCAGATTATAGGGGCCATCACACAGAACTCAGTCCGTTGGGACTGGATGTTACGAGTGTTTTTTTTTTTTTTTCTTTAAAAGAATTTAGTAAGAAATAGTAATTACCTTGACTACTGGAGAACACGCTCTTCACATTCACTTTCCCTTCTATTACACTAGTAACCACAGAAGAAAAAATGAATCCAGAAGTCCAATGTTAGTCAAACGAGTAAACACAGCATTAGCTTCTGCCAAGTAACCTTCTGACTCTGAAGGCTCCTTGTGTGAATCTCATACTAGAACTTTCTGTAAAAGCCGACAACAGAAAAATACTTTGCAAGCTGTCGATGAAGGCATCAAACAGCTTTCTAGTCAGAGAAATCCTAGTTTCATGCAGCCTTTTCACTTGCTTCTCTTAACATTTCAGGTATTTGCAAAGTTAAAAAATAAAAAGCAAGGGCATGATCTGAACCTATCTGGAAGCTCATATCCAGGACAGAAACATCTCAGTGAACTCAGGGACTCAGCAATAAACAAGAGACTGCCTTCAAGCCCTGGGCTAGAAGAGCTTCGAAGCAGAGGTTAACAGCAGGCTACCCTGGCTGATTTTAACACATCTGTTTATAATAAAAATACTGTTGGTTTGAATATATAATTACAGCACATCAGCCTTTAAAACCAAATAGGATACACACAAGTCCATTCCCATTAGCCACTGGGCAGGGTTGTTTCCTCTGTTTACAAACAAAACAAAACAAAACAAACGTGGCTCAGATACCGTGAAGTTTTGTTGGCCACCATGAGTGAGGTGAAGGGAGGACACATGGGAAGAAACGGGAAAGAGAAAGGGAGAAAATGGGTCAGATGGGTGGTTCACTGCTGTTACTGCAATAGTCCAAAGAGCAGGCCCAGCCCCAGACAGTGACATCAGCTTGCAGCTGCGCACAGACCTTTGCTCTGTTTACTGGTCGGGTGTGCTGTTCGGGCAACAGCTGGGCTGCAATGATCGCTCACACGAATGGCTTCAGTTTGGACGAACTGGCCTGGGCTCCTAAGGAAACATTTATGTGATATAAAGACTCAAGAGATATTTTTTAAAGGATGCACGTGTAAATGCTGTATTAAAGGTTCTCAGAGCTCTCCTCGGCAGCTGTGACCTAACGTGTGTGTGGTGGTGGGTGTGCATAACCCTGATTTTAGGCTGCAGACTTTCCCTTGCACTGACTACAGCTGAGGAGAGATTGATGGTGACCCCTGAGTGTGCTCTCGCTCCCGTCCTCAGCCTAGTCTCTCCTTGCTTCTTCTCCAGGATTCCACTCACTTTCAATTAATCAAACACCGAACAAAGCCAAAACCAAACACAAAATCGTTCCGAATTTGGAAGAAGCAAGCATGGAATTTTCTCCCAGTGACACATGCGACTATTTGAAAGAACATATGACACAAACACAAAATCCACACGAAGTCAAAGTAGTCCTTGTGTCCCCGTTGTTTTAATCATCCCATTCGTTGGTTTTTAAAAGCGTGTATATGATTAACACCAACAGCCCACTGCCTGTTGGAGATCTGTGGCGCAACTCTGGTACACACGTTTGTCGACTGTGAAAGCTATCTCCAGCAATCCAGCTTACAAGGGGAAATACAGTTCTCGGGATTTAAAGAGAAAGAAAAAAACAGAAAAGAAGAAAGGAAAAGGGGAGAAGGGAGGGAAGGGGAGGAAGGAGGAGGGGAAAGGAAGGCAGACTCATGTACAAAATCATCCATAAAGCGGAAGGCCATACTGAGATGAGAAGTGAGTATTTCCACTCTGCGGTGAGCCGCCCGAGAAGAATTCTAGGTCAGTGACAGAAAAACGTTGAGACCCTCCCTGACTGTTTAAATCATGAGTATCTGTGCAAGGAAAAAAAAAATCGTAACAGTTCAAATGCTTTAAGTTTTGCTTTTCAAATAATGATGGGGCTGATACGTGGAAAAGGCCCAGTGCCACAGTCAAACATAATCTCTGAAAACAGAGCTGGAGTCCTCCAGGTCCTCCTGCAGCTTCCCCTGCAGGGCAGGAATGGAGCCATTACTTTATTAGCCCTCATGGGTTCTTCTCAGAGGCAAAGGGCACACTTTTATTATTTCCATCTCACAGAGACTCATTTCCCTTTGTTGATTGATAAATGTGCTGT